TATTCCTAAGCAAAACTATAGCAAGGAGGTGGGAGGGCTCAAGAGGCATGCATCTAGGGAACAATGACTGACAGCTTTCATCCACTGGGTACTTACCCGGTGGCAAAGTCTGCTCAGGTACTAAGTCACCCCAAATCTCACAACATGTCAATGGGGGTATTTAGCATTATGAGCCCCACTGATAGAAAGAAGAGACTCATAGAGGTTACCTGACGAGCAAGTTCGCACAGCTACTAAGTGGCAGAACCAGGAGCAGAAAAACTAAATCTGTTTCCAGAACCTGCCACATTCTTTGCCACATCCTACCTGGTGGGCATCGTATGCTGATCAGAGGTTATCTGTAGTTCCACAAGATGCTCTCAACGACTCCTTTCTGGAAAGCATCTGATCCCATTTTGCACACTGAATAAAGTTTGCCTACATCTGTGGCATTAAAAGCACCCCGAACATCGCCATCCCAAGTTAAGATGGATTTTTCTCCTTCCTTCTTCCCTTTAGGACTAGCAATGGAGATGAGTCTGAGGATGAACCACTCAGCTTGCCAAGTGAGCTTAGATTTAGAAAAAGCAAAGATTCTTGTCTATAATATACTGTCCTACATTCTAAACAATGATCTGGGTGGAAAAACAAATCACTGCAGAAAATGATAATAAAGCCTGTTCTAATTTCAGAATGGTGAAATGTGGAAAAAGAAAAAAAAAGTTGGTCTTTGAATTAAGGAAATAAAGTAACAAATAACTACCAGTTAGTTGTTGTCCAGCTATGCGATAGGACATTGCTAAGCCCCTATGTGTATGATTTCATTTAGTCTTCTCACCAATCTCAATTTATAGATGAAGAAATTAAGATCCAGAGAGAGTAAATATCTTATTGACGATCAAACCTGGGTCTCTCTGACTCCAAGGACTGATCACTTAGTCAAACTACACTGCATGGTATCTAGTTGCTTCAAAGGGCCCTTCTGGTTCTAATATTTAGAGTCCATCTGTTACATTTCTCTGAATTTCTTTATATTCATTATATTTCATGACCCTCTTCCACACACCTAAACCATCCCCTTCAAGATTCAAACCCTTAATGCCCCATGATTCAGTTCTCTGAACCAAGATGGACCTTAGAAGTCCATGTGGATATGTAACCACACTGTGGCGTAAGGTTTAATATTCATTTCCTCCTGATAAACTAGTCTCCATGACTAGTTTGCCCCATTTAAAAAACTATTAGAAATTTAAAATATTCAGAAAATACTATAAGGTTACAGTAACTAAAACCATGTCATTTTTGGCATGGGAACAAATAGACCAATGCAAAAGAACAAAGAGGCCACAAGTAGACTTTCAGATACTTGGAAACTTGATCTATGACAGTGAGAAAAAAGATAGCTTCTCAAGAGTGCAGGATTATTGGTTTTCCATATGGAAAAAAATTATAATGGACACCATATGTAATAAATTAATTCTAAATGATTAGAAGCCAGAAAATAAAAGCAAAACTTTAACTTTTCTAAGAAAAATATGAGACTACTTTATGACTGTGTTGTAGGAAAGGAGTTCTTAAACCAGAAAGACACACACAAAGGAAAAATTATGTCCTTTATGTCAGCGGTCCCGAACCTTTTTGACACCAGGGACGGGTGCTCCTATGAGAATCTAAGACCTGATGATCTAAGGTGGAGCTGCAGAGGTGATGCTAGCGCTGGGGAGCGGCTGCAAATACAAATGA